CACTCTATTTCGATCAGCATATCACATGATACGAGCAATAATTGTTAGCTTCGCCATAATACCCCTACCTCCCTTATAAAATAAGAGATAATTTTATTAAGAGTATTGCTATTTCCACCCCCCAGATATCAAAAAGTGCTCCAGAAGAGGTATTTTTATTAAGTAAACCCTTCTTTTGATCTTAATAAAAGTTGTTTATCAGGCCTTTCTGGTTCCAATAGTAGTATACACAGACCAAAGATATACTGTATATATCCGAAGTTAGTTAACTTTTATTTACTTAAAAAAAAAACCATCGGTCCGATTTTAATGATTTTACCATTAGAACCAGAAAGGCTTGAACAATTTTTTATTAAGGTTTTCTTAATAACAATACCTCTTCCGGAACACTTTTATTAGCAAAAATGGGTTGAAATAGCAATACTCTTATTAATTCTATTTAATCATCCCTCTATATAATCACCCAAAAGTGCTAGATAAATTGTCCAAGTAATTTTACAATTTTACTTAGTACATAGGCTAGTGGTTTATTGGTAAAATTTTAAGTAAATCGTACAAAATTTATCGATCTGCTGAATTGATTGCAACTAATCTATTCAATATTTGTTAGCCCTAAAACATTTTAAAGTTTAAAAGATTTTACTTAAAAAAATTTATCCCATTTCTATTGACTTCCCGAAATACAGTATAAATATTTAAATTTGATCATGAAGATGCCAAAATTTAGGCAAATTGAAAATAACCTAGGATTACAAATTTAGTATAAAGCCCATGTACAAATAATTTTTTGAAGTACACAATCATGTGACACATACAACGGGATAATCTACAAAAATTTACCGTTAACTTTGGTAATATTACGATTAAGGCCTTTTAACTCTAGCCACGATTTAATTCTTGGTATTAATTATTCTAACGATGGCTAATTATAGCATGGAAAATTGATGCAACCGTTCTTACATCTCCATACTGTCGGTTTGTCGCTCGTAACTAATAACACTCATACATTTCCATTCACCATTGTGAGAGGCTTAAAAAATGATTTACAAGAACATTGTAAAAATATACCACGATTTGTGCAAAAGTAACGATAGTTGTTCAAAAAAGTGCGTATAAAGAAACTTACATTTCCACAATCTAACCTTTCCATCATCTCCGGAGGAAGATAGAATAGTACCAGTTATATTCCATTCGACTTTCCAAACCTTAAAAAAATTTTAGGTCAATATAGTAATAGTAATAATGAATTTTCATAACTCACAAAATGTTCATACCTCAACACCGTGATCAGAAAGCATGGCGATATTTTCTACGGAATAACCATCCGGTTTGTTTGATAATTTAAAAATTCCAACTTTGTGATCTTTTGATGCGGTTGCGATGAGGTGATAACTCCTTGATGAATCAGAAAGATTATAAAATATATAAAAATTGAACTTTAAAGATTTTGTAGTGAGAAAATATAAGTTTACCTTCCCATATTAGGCGCCCAACTAACATCATGAATAGCATCTTCATGTCCATGAAGGACTTCAAATGGTATCCATTTGTTATGTGGATTTGGTCTGAAAATCTAAAAACCAACATAACGTTATTTAAGTCTCGTTTCTCACTTGACAACTTATAACTTTGAAACTAATATAATGAGATAATTTACAAATTTTTATTACAAACTTTGGCACAATTCTCTTTTCCACAACCAACAACGATCATTGGTGATACTTGTGGCTTCCAGGGACACCAAGAAAGGCAATAGTTTCCATCAACTTCTTTATTAACGGTTCCAGGGCTAGTAATATCTACCTCCTCCATCATAGACCAATCTGATAAATTATTCACTTCGAGAGCTTCGTATATTCTGAGAACACCATCAGCAGCAACAGTTGCCTATTAATTAATGATATTAAAATCTTACAATTAACTTAATATTAAGATTTAAATGATCCATACTAATTTCAGTCCCCAATTATTGGGCGCAAATTCAATATCTTTTACAGATCCAATACTTTCTACCAAATTCGCCCTCAACACCCATCGTTTACCACTATTTTTTGGCTCTGTATATTAGAAAAGTTTAAATATTGTTTAACAAAAATTTAACAGCATTTTATGAGAAGGGTTAATTGAAACTTACCATGTTCTTGTTCTTCCCAGATACGTACGGAACGGTCAAAAGAACAGGATGCAATTACTTGACCAAACTCGGGATGCGCCCAAGAAACTTTTAGAACCGAGCATTCGTGCGCCTATTAGTATAGAATAGTCGCTAACATTGCTAACTTTTAAAGCGCCTGACTTTACAAATCAAATATTTGCGTCGGAGATAACATACTTTCCAGGAGTCAACAAGCTCCCAACCACTAGTATCTTGATTAAATTCCCATACTTTAAGTTTTTGGTCTGAAGAGCAGGTTGCAAGACGTTTACCATAAAAGTCATAGGAAACGTCGTGTATTAAATCGTCGTGAGAACTGTCAAAAGCATGAACTGCCATTTTATGAATTTAATACGATAAACATGATAATCAACCGATAATTAACGATCGTAAGTACCCGATTTTTTTGGAAATTTTGGATTTGGCCAGCATTAAGAAATTGAATATCATAATTCAGGTCATTGATATAAATTGGTTAAGAGGGTGGGACTATATGGTGAGAGAGATTTTATTCTGTATTGTACATTTGTTA